ACCGCTGGAAGGTGTCTCAAGTGAACATCGACACCAACTTGAAGCTGAACGGCCAACCCGTGGACAAGCGCAAGTTCGACATGCCTCCCCAAACGGTAAACGCGCGGTACAAGCGTAATGAGAACCAAATTGTGTTCCCGGCCGGCATTTTGCGTGCCCCGTACTTTGATCTCAAATACGATGCAGCCCAGAACTTTGGTGGCATCGGGGTGGTTATCGGTCACGAAATTACCCACGGGTTCGACAACCGCTTCCGTAATTACGATGGCGACGGTAACTTCAACCCGTGGTGGTCGAACGCCACCAACATTACGTTCACGACAAAGACCCAGTGCCTTAGCGACCAGTACGCCAAATTTGTCGTCAATAGCGACCTAACTGGCGCTGTGTTGGGCAACATCAGCGGCCAGCGGTCTTTGGGTGAAGCCATTGCCGACAACGGGGGGCTCAAGACCAGTTTCCGTGCGTACCACGAGTACTTGAAGAAGTTCCCGTCGCAGTACACGGAAGAAACTGGCGACAAGTTGTTCTACTTGTCGTTCGCCCAAGTCTGGTGCTCCAAGAACACGGATAGGTATCTCCTCAGGGATTTGAGGAGGAAGCACCCGCCCGATCGGTTCCGCGTGACGGGGGCGTTGCAAAACAACGCTGAGTTTGCCCGTGTGTTTAAATGTCCCACCAACTCGAACTTGAACCCGTCCAAGAAGTGCTTGTTGTGGGAATAGGGTTGATGGATACCAAAATATGAGCGTTGTGTATTCGGAAGGATAAACTAAGAAAACGATGTCTTGGTTGAAGTGTGTTGTTTTTCGTATGTGGTGAACACACAATCTACAATAATAGAGAGGTTTCGCAACTCATCTTTATCATCACCTTCGGTTGTGCCGGTGGAGGGTCTTTGCGCGCTTTGACTTTCTTAGCTGTGTCTGCCAAAACCGGAAGTAAAGTATACTGTAAAATCTAATTAATGATACTGCAAAACTTGATTAACAATCATCAGAATTGGCCAATTGTAAGGTCAATCATCTTTGTCCTTACAGGCCGCATTGGTTCAGCCGCCACCTTCGTGAGGGGATTGTTGTGCTGGCCAACATCTTCCTTGCAGCGCCAGTCGGCAGGGCTCGGTGGTACTGACCCCATGCGCAGTACTCGGGCAGCACGCGGTTGCTGCCTTCAAAATACAGAATCAAGAATTATCCTTGGTACCTAGACCTAACGCGGGCCTTCAGTGTCGCAGATGAAGCCTGTGAGGAATGCCCGGTGCAAGTGATACACGTTCTCGCACTCGATCCAGTGGGAGTCCAACGCATGAAGCACGACAGACCACCTTTCTTCCGCGTCCTGTGCATCGTCGGCGTATTTGTAGTACAAGGCCGGCGGGCCCGTCTTCGTAGCGACACTTCGTGAAAAGTCTTCACTAAAGACGGTTCACCAAGTGTCGCTGCTAACAGACTCGACGGGGTCACTTCATAGCGCTACGTGTATGCTGTAATGTTGTACACTTGCAAATGTAGATGGATTAGAACTTGCGCTGTTTCTAAACGACCCATCACAAAGAACAAATCACATTGTTGTTGCGTTAGCATTCGCTTGTTCTTACTGTTAACGCTCACTCGAACCCCAGAAGATAAGTTGACTGGGGCCTGAACCCATAGCGGCAACGTTAGCTGTGGCATTTGTCATCGCGTCGAGCACATCACTAATGAGACGTTGTGAAAGGACTTCTGAGCAAAAGAGCACGGAAAACTCCCAAGGGCGTGGGTCCTAGCATGGGACACAAGCAGCGTAAGGCACTAGTCATGCAGTATGTCTGCATGACTGACAACGTGCGGTGCCTGCCTAGCCGTCGAGCACAGCATGCATCCGAATAACTTCTTTAACCGGAAGCAATGCAGTGACACGGATCCACGATATCCAGCCACAAGTCCTGGATGACTTGATGGGTGACGAGCCTTTCAGTTCGCTCCGATCACCCGGGAGGCCATACGAGAGCGCGGACTAAGCCTCTTACTTACCAAATGATCTACCTATTCCTCTTGTCGGGCAGCGGCGTAAGGCCGTGCCACTACTGGACGAGGCCTGAATAACGTTACGTGTGCAAGTTGATTTCATGGTGACTGACATAGACGAAGCTGGTGTTGCAAGCACATTGAATTTAACATGAGTTCGTGCTGCAATGACTGACATATGTGAACCTAAGATTACAGTACCTATTACTACGTAGTACGTTCTATGATGAAATCTTTGAGATCCCACAGATGAGTACATGTACTCGAGTACTAGTACATTTTATGTAAAGGCTGGGAGAAGTCTGTTCTTGTTAAGGAGATTCGATTAAAACCTATATTAAAACACAAAGAAGTAGGTTATATATGTATCCACATCATCATCAGCTTGTCGCTGGAATTCACTTTCCCTCACAAGCGCAGTGAAGCTCAACGCCACTATCGTTTCAATCGCCAAGTGAGATTGCCCATTGACAGCAACCGCGCTACACGCTTTCTGTCGCCATTGATGAATCGTTCGAAGAGCAACTATTAGATGATGGAGGTGGATTCATACCATTAATAAAACGTGTTTGCTGATCAATTTGATTTGGTTCCATTGGATTTAAATGACCGGCTACTGCACTTTTGATCAGTACATCTCCAATCAGTAAATCTGTGTGCTGATTTACTGAAAATTTACTGAAATATATTCGCACCGCACCAGTATCCGGTTCAGTACTTTGCTGACCAGCAAATATTCCAGTAAAAGTCACACAGATTTGATGGGACTTGTACTGGATTTGCTGGAGTCAGTACCGGATATAGTGGCCGGATAGAGAAATCTGTATATAAACACGGAGCAGCGAAGCCTCAGGGTCGGTGATGGCATAGGTCAAGGTGCAGTTGTGGCGGCCCTGGTACGATATGTATGGTGCAGTCAATAGCTTATGACTTATGTGGTGATGACTCTTGCGGCGTAGGTCAGTTGCGGCCTCGATGCTGCCGTGATAATTTTACTGTTAGGCGGCAGCATCGACTGCGGGTGAATGCGGCCGGTTGCTTGTTTGCGCCCGTCTGAGCCCGGTCCGAGGCCGATCCTGCCGTGGTTGGCGGTGTCTATCTTGCGCCGGTCGAAGTTGCATGGCTTGCCGCGTTGGCGAGATTCGTGCGTCAGTCGGTGGGTATGTCTTTGCGGCCGGTAGCCGTGTTGTTAATATTGCAGGACCCATGTCATCGACTAAAACTCGACAGGACCCGCGCCATTGACTGCTGCATTACCAAGGTCAATAGCGCGTGTCCTATCGTTAGCTGGCAGATGCCTATTATGTCTGTATATCTCCGTACTCCGTTTACTAGTTCACGAGACACTACAGTTGATGCCATTCCTGGGGATAAGGATAACTTTGCGTATCATTGCGTGCCATTCCTGGAGATAAGCATTCCTCATTGTCGAAATTAACGCGGGTTTCAACTCAGGCTGGTCGAATGATGATTTACTGGCTGGAGTTGGGCTTATTGCGGTGCGAATTATCCTGAATTATCAGTCCATTACAATACTGGAGGTTGTTATCCGAACACTATGCGGATATTGGTGTGTCGATTTACTGGAATGCGGTGGAGATGCTCTAACCTAGTCTCTTTCGAATTCGCTGAGTTCTTGCTTGAAAGAGATATATCTAATCAGTAGCAATGTCCAAGGCCAAGGGCATTTGAAAAGTGTAAACATGGGAACATGGGTCAAAAGTTGAAAAGTTCGCATCAAGTTGATCAGATTTTAAAAACGACGTCATTTGAAATTTCACCATAGTTAAAAACAAAAGACAAATTTGGCCCTTACAAACACGAGCCTAGCGAGATAGATACCTACCGTTTTGAGGCAGGCTGTTTTGCTGATATTTTGGCAATAACGGCGTTAGGTGTAGGTATTAGGGGCTCTTCCAAGTAGGTACTAACTAATACAACTGGTGTCATGAAGCACTGTATTAATACCTACCCGTAGAGTGTATATGTACGTAGGTGTAGGTATTAATACAACTGTAGTCATGAACCACCCCACAGAAGTGTATAACGTTATTGCCAAACTGTAGTACTTTACTTCGAAGTACATGGCTGCAAGCAGGTTTAGCTGCGGTGAGGCAAGACATCATAACCTTATGATCCCTCCTAATTTGCGTCCATATGAACTACTACCATTAAAATAGGGGAGTCGTCGAAGAGATCCTTCAGACTCCACCGCTTTGATAGCAAGTCATAATAACGTTAGGTTTCACACGACATTGAAGCTATCGGGAGAAGGAATACCATTGCTGATCCATAATTGTTGCCGAACTCCTCGAGGGTGCCACATAATTTGGCCATTTCATCGATTAGGCGATGCTGCCGCTGTTGTGTCGGCATCCAGTGGTCGTCCACAAAACGAGTAGAAGCACCAATTCTCTTGTAGTATGTTTTACACTTTTTTGTATATTGGGTGCAACGACATGCCTGATCGGATTCGGGCCTAATGTGCAAATGACAAATGCTGCACCTATCCCGACCGTCCAAGTCGTTCTTCGACGCCACTCTCGACAAGCAATGCTGGACGCCTGGATCCGGTAAATGTTGCTTGTGTGGTACTCTGTGCTCGCTAAAAACCGACGAGCGGCCTTGTTGGGCTCACGAGTGGAAGATGGCCAAGGAGGCTTGTATACGCGGTAATGGGGCGTTTCTTACTGGCACAAGTCGATAAGTCGGAGGAGTAAACAAGCATCGTCGTCAACGGAAAAGCTGGTGTTGGTATAGTCCTTCGTGCGTTGTAAAGTGCGCAGGGGTGAATGCATAAACATTAGTCAATGGAGGCCATAGGGCTCACTTCCGAATAATACCCATCAAACTAATACAGCTTTGGGAAATCTGCCGCTACAACAACTTTCGTGCGGTACCGAATTCTATCACTCGAGACATACGCCAGGAATTGGATCACCGGGTATCTCCAATGTTAGAGCCTGTTCCGAGTAAAACCTCGAATGGGGTAGGAACGAGGTGGCAAACTATTTTCATGCGTTCGCACTTGCGACATACCCACTCATAATTATTGCATTGGCCAATGAACCAGCCAACCCTTCCACAGCTCATGGTCACATGAAATCGGCATTGAATCGTGGTAGAGCCACACGTCGTCAGTGGGGCTACAGTATCTATCACAAACGCCCCCATGATGTACAGATGTGGTAAACATGGTGCATTGGTTAGTGATAGAGAAGTTGATACGGCGATGCGTGGCAATAAGTGGTTGTCGACGGCGGCTGTATCAGCTATAGTAAAGACCACTCCACAAATTTGTAACCTTTTAGGACATTGCCTTTCCCCCTTCCCTTCAACTATACCTACTGGTCATTCATTGGCTGTGTATCAAATTCGTTTTGACTATGCGTTGCTGTGTTGCTGCTCGGGAAACACAACACAACCTACCACTAGGCGATTACAATAGTGATCTCACATATACATTGTAGATTATGTGTGCACCGCACAATAAAAATAACACACTTCAACCAAGACATCGTTTCTTAGTTTATCCTTACGAATACACAACGCTCATATTTTCGTATCCATCAACCCTATTCCCACAACAAGCACTTCTTGGACGGGTTCAAGTACGAGCCGATAG